GCTTTGTTTAACTATTCAAATTACCACTTCCACAATTTCTCACAAGAAAAATGCCTTCACTGCCAGAGGGAAAAATAGTTCAGAAGGACAGGGATGGATTAACCTTTTATAGTGAGCCCTAGGCAAACGAACTCATAGGCTCCTCACTTAATATACTGTATATTTACATTACTTCCCCCCTCCCACTCAATTGTAATATTTAAAACAAGCACAACTGGGCCCCTTCTTCACTTAAGGCCATAGGCATGTGCCTAGTTTGCCTATGTGTTAACCCAGCCCTGCAAAAAGATACAAGTAGGTATAGCAAATCTTACACTTTACATTTCTTTACAAGAAACTAATTAACACAATGCCTATATTTTAAAAAGTTATTCAGGATTACACATTCTTGAAGTAAAAAAAGGCAAGTCTAATGCTTAAAACACTACATATAATACCCTTTGCTCTGTAGGTTCATGAAAATTTATCATTTTTACTGAGAAAACTTAAAATAAATAAATTCCTGTTTCAAATCTAGAAAGCAATCATAGATGCTTTTAGATTGCAAATGCCATTTCATTCATGACTATAAACTTTTAACTGCTAAAAACCAATCTATCCATGTCTAAATTTAGATTTCTTTCTACACTCAATTAAGAATAAATGCAACTTTTCATCTAGTATTTTGAAGCCATAGCCCTTTACCAGATTGCCAACAGTTCTCCTAGCAAGCAGCCTTCCAAAAAATGCTTAAAATTTAAAAAAGGACATTGACAACTGAATCAGTTATTGAAAAAAAATGCATGTGCTCCTGCAGTCTAGGCACCAAACTTCATAAGAAATTGAAAATACATAATAAAATATAATCAGCATTGACTTGAGTCAGAGGAAGCAATTCTCTCAATCTGCGCTTTTAAAATGCACTTCTGGGTCCCAATTTTCACTATAAAAACAAGAAAAAAAACACACTAAATTTTATATGTACAAAGATTATGAACTCAGATTTTAGAATAGCTCAATTTTAGTTTTATTTACAAAAGAACTAATGAGGGGGTTATTACTACACAACCTTTGTATGCAATACAACCAAGTTAGCTTACCACCATTGCCACGCAGTTTCCCCATTTCTAGATTTAACAGCAGTACAGTTAGCAAAAAAATCTTTAAAAAAAGGAAACAAATAAATACTGAAGTGTACAAGAATGAGCCATACTTTTCACATTTGATGAATTTCCCTGCCAAGTTTGGCCTTGAGCACTACTGCTTAATCTGAACCGTAGCCATGTTAAACTGCTTTACAGGTCACTTGATAATAGCTGCAGTCATCGCATCACATCCATACTGTTGCTTTTAAGAACTGCTGTGTGTGGTCTCACAGCATGGCTGAAAGCTAACTATCAATTAACTGCAACTTGAATAACTAAAACACCACTTTTTTTAATGAGATGAAGAAGCCAAAGTTACCTTCTTTTTCTCAATGTTCCTGATCTTGTGTTTGAGGCAGATGATCCCATTTTCAATGTAAGTCTCGTATGCCTGGGCAGTATTGGCTGCAGAGTTCAGAGCCGACTGCAGGGGGCTCAGCGGAGGCTGACCCTCCCCCAGCTGATTCACCTGCTGCTTGGCCAGCTTCATGCTCTTGTCCTCCCCTTCCTCGGAGAGGACTGAAGGCGACAGGCAGCGAGCCTGGGCTTGGGAAAGCTGCACCATTGAAACGGATGGGGCTGCAAAGAGATTTACTCTTATTATTGCTCTTACCACGTAAATGAACACACCCAGGTACCAAAAAAAAAATTCAAGACATCCCCTTCCAGTTCCAACCTTCATCCATTCAAACATCTCTAGCACAACCTCCAACCGCGACAAACTTCCCCTGGCTCAAGTGTCTCCTAGCCCCTTCTCCCCATGCCGCTCTCCAGTCACCCCGCACAGCAGCGCCAGGGATGCTTCCAGAAACCTCAGCGCCCATGCGAGGCTCCCTGCCCCATCGCGCCCGGGGCGGGGGCACAAGAAGCGGCGAGTGCTCTGGTTTCGGGCACGAATCTCTCGCCCTTCACAGGACGATGCGGCCCCAGGCAGGGCCGGGCGGGGCCAGACGCGTGCGGGGGGTCCCTGCCCGCCCGGCCTCTCAAGGGCTCCGCCGACTCGGGGGGAAGCAGCTTCCCCCTGCGGCCCCGGCGGGACGGGGCGAGGCCGCCCACAAACATGGGCCACCGCCACAGGGAGCGCGGAATTCACCTCCGCCGCCACCGCGATGAACGCTGCTGCGAGTGCGGACGATGGATACGGCGGCAGCGGCCCTAGCCCGCTCCCTCTGCTCCGCCTCCCCGCTCACCTCAGCAACCGCAGCGCGCCCAGCCCGCCCCACCGCCCGCCTTGCCCCTTATATAAGCGCCCGGCCCCCAGGGGCGGGGCCTCGCAAACGTCACCCCCGCCTTCCAATCACCGCTGGCTTCCGCCTACCCACCTGGCTCCGCCCCACCCTCGGCCCTACCCACGTGACCTTAGGGACAGTTATACCTCGGTCGTTGGGGCTCGCTCGAGACGTCCTGACCATCCGGGAGCAGGGCGGCCATGTTGGGGGCGGGGCGCGCGTGACATAACTGCCTCCTTCCCCCCCCCCCATCGGCGCACCATCCTCGAGCTGGGGGGGGTCTTCACAGGGGCAGCCTGGGTCCAAGTGCTCCTGCATCTGTCACGCGCACAAACACACGCCAGGCACTTATACACATGTATTTACACACTTACTTCCCATGCCTGAGCATGTTAAGGTGATTTCGGTGCACATCCACACAAGGGCACGCCAGTGCGCATTCAATCTGGGCCCTAATAGCCAAGTTGCGTTAGCATAGGTAGGTGCAGACGCATGAATGGGCATTAACGTGGCGTGCACCCACTAACAGGTGGGCTAATGTGACTTGGCCACTTGCGCCTACTTTTGATACCTGCTTTTTGCGGGTATCAAATTTAGGCTCGTATGACCTTACATCGCCATTTTTAAGGTGCATCAAAGGCATGCACATGTAGACGTGTGCCCTTAATGCACCTTTAAAACAACGATTTTAGGCTACACCTGCTTAAAAGAGGCCCGGGTGGATACACCCAGAGGTCAGGGCCCTGCTGCCTTTGCAGTGGGGGGAGGGGGCTTCCAGTCACAAGCAGTCGCTCACCTCAGTCCTGCCTCATGTAGCTGTTGGTACAGAGCGGGTTGGCCACCTCCGCTGTGGCTCCAGGCTGAATCCACGCTGGGGGCTCTTCAGGGGCTGGATCCAGCATGGGTGCAGCTACCAGGGGTGTGGGGGCAGTGGGAGTGGGATGTCCAGCAACTGTAAGGGGTCCAGAAACAGGGACAGGAGGGTTTCCCCTGGTAACAGGGGGTCAGAGGGCAGCAGTGCTGAGCCTGGCCAGGTCCAATGTGGCCAAAGGACCCTGAGTCCTGTAGCAGGTCAGGCCTCCGAATTTGGGTGGCCTAGCAGGCCAGATAGAGTGGGTCTGTGGGCTGGATCTGGCCCACAGGCTTTGAGACCCCTGGGCCGGAAGAGGACTGAGTGAGAGTGGCACCCCCTGAGCTTTGCTTCTTGCAGAGGTGTCCTGAAAAATTAAGTGAATACCAAAGAAATGGAAGCGTACATGCAATAGAAAGAGGGGAGAACTGGGGGAGTCAGGCAGGGCGAGAGCAGGAGGGATGTGGCTTTTCCACACACAGGATGGGCACTTGTATGCAGCCCAGGTGCCGAAAGGAACCACTGCAGAGGACAAGGGTATCACACAATGGAGAGGTGCTAGAGAAGGACAGTGAGGAGGCTGGTGCTAAATGGTCTGAGGACAAGTAGGGAAAAAGAAAGTATAGGCCCCAATCACAGAACCATGTCTGCCCAGACAGATGCAGTTGCTGTTGTCCTCATTATTTTATGTGAAGTCTCATGACAGCATGTTTGTTTTTCTTTGCTTGTTTGTTTTTAAAAGCCCCAACTTCTGGACCCAAGCAAAGATTAAAAAATGTCAGCTTCTTCAAAAAGTGTTTAGTCTTCATAACCATGGAGAAAAACTTGTAAACCATAAGCCCAGTTTTTGGGCACCAGTCTTTGAGGGAGAGATGTAGACAAATTGAAAAGAATCCAATAGAAAGCAACAAAAAATTTAGATGCCTGAAAAATGTGACTTATGAAAAAAGTTGGGAGAAATAGGACTGTTTAGCCTGGAGAACGCAAGACTGTGAGGAGGGATTTAATAATAGTCTTCAAATATCTGAAGGGTGGTTATACAAAGGATGGTAATGGACTGATTTCAGTGCCTGCAGGGAACAGTACAAGGAGCAATTACCTTATATTGCAAAAAGGGGAAGTTATGTCGGTTAATAGGAAGATGTTCAACTATAAGGGTGGTTAAACGCTGAAACAGGTTATTTAGAAAGGTGGTGGAATCTCCATTCTTGGACACTTTTAGGGAGCAATTTAGACTGTCACTTGAATTAGATAGTTTAGACAGGGTGAATCTCACTTCAAGCAGGAGTATGCTGTCTCTGACAGTGGCAATAGTAGATGCTATGGATGGAGACTACATGAACAGGGCATATCCAGAGTGATCCATCCCATTACTCCCCTCCTGGCATCTAACATAATTGGTTTAGGGATGCCAGAGGACATATCCCTGACCATTCTGTTTAATAGCTATTAATGGGACTGCCCTCCATAATATGACTAATCCCTTTTTGAACCTGTTTTAAAAGTGTTTGGTATTAATTTGATAAATAAAGTGAGTAAACCAATGAACCTGGAAGGAAGGCTGGAACGAAAACTCAAAGTTGGGGTAGGAACCAAGATTGGACAAAGTAGAATTAAAATAGTACTGGCTGGGCAGAGATTGGGATAAAGGATATGGAAGGGGGGAGATTGAGATGGGCAGATGGGATGGGAACAGATGGAGACAACTGAGAGGTCTGGAAATTAAACTAGTTAAGGAAAGAGATTGAACGAGGATCCCTGGGACTGGTAGCAGGAGTGGGATAAGAATCTGTGAGATGTGGGGAAGAGATAGGCAAGGGCAGAAGAGTGATCATCACCAGTACACACTTCCTTCATTTGCAAGGATTCCTGGTTTCAGCATTACTCTGCTGTTAATAAATATTCTTGAAACCCAGTAATAAAGAGTATATCTCAGTACCTGCTCCCACCAATCCCCACAGAAGTACTTACCCAGTACTGCTATGAGCTGCTTCTATTGGCTCCAGTGGCAGAGGTCTGTGCAGTGGATGTGAAGGCTTCAACCTGGCTGACAAACCATGTAGGTGCCAATAGACTGCTACATAGTAGGTGTTAGAGATGCATCCCAAAACTGAGTTGCTGTTGGGGTTCACCATATGGCATACATGGATATTTTCCGAAATTAGATTTACTACTGTAGTGTTTAGTCTGTTTGTAGCTCGTGAAGCTGGACTCAGTTTTCATATCTGTGGGTGTGTCTACACAAGACATTTACTGCAGAGTACACTAATTAGCTCTGCAGCAAATGTCTCAGTGTCTATATGTGCAAGGCTATTAGGCTGGAGTAAACTAATAAAGTTGCATTAGTATGCATGTGTAGCCATGCCCTGTATGTATTATAGCGCTTCAAATAAATGTACTTTTGTAATTTGATGATGTAACTGGAAGATAATTAAGCAAGGTATTTAGCACACACCCAGGGCATTGGCTGCCTGTAATGGGGAAAATCAACTTCTCTGTAGAGGATCTGTTCACAGATGTGCTAAGCACTCTTGCAGCTCCAGATGAGGGAACTGCGCTATGAACAAATGAAGTACTATATTATACTTAATCTTCTGAAAAGTTAGGCCTTAACCATGTCAGATTGTCAAAGTCTTCCAGTTTTCCAGTCCCTTCATTTGTAAAATGTGGAAAATATCCCCCACGCATACATACTTCACATGACTGTTGTGAAACAAATTCATTAATGCTTAAACTCAGATCTATTATGATGATGTAGAAAAACCTGTTAGGAAATTAATTATTTTGTATTCAGAGCAAACTTTGAACAATGTGCAGTAAATAAGGCCTGAGGTCAAAAGCTGAACACTACAAATAAAACATTTAATAGTTGTTTATTTAGTGAACACCATCCATCCTTTGTGCTGACGTAAGGATCCTGTGGGCAAATAGTAAGCATTCACATCGTTAAATACTATGTCGTTGTGTATATGATCCTGAGGGGTTAGTTAAGGGAGGAATATTAACTCTGGCATTTCCAAATTTTTAAGTGGTTTTTATATATAATTAGAGAAGACATGGTCTAGTTTACTGCATGAAACCATCATCTAAAACAACTCTGATTCCTTTCCAGTTTAGACCTTTATTTTTATTATTTAGTTTTGGTAGTGTTCAGAATGTGCAAGCTTCTTCCTTACTATATGTCAACCAATCCATGTCAGGAAGAGTTCACTATTAATAACAATCTTAGTGCTTCACATGTTTACAGTTCTGTGGAGACATTTTAACTAATCCTCACAACAATGCTGAATTAGATATGATATTGTCATTTATCAGTCTTCTTCCATTCTGACAGTGATGTCAGGAGAGTCTACACCTTATTGCCACTTGTTGCAAAGGAAGGAGGCAAGGAACTTGTGAAACTGCTCCTTTCTCAGTTCTTTTGTCTCCTTTTCCTTAGGCATATGCAGCCTTTGCTTCAATCATTCTGTTCCTCCCTCCCCTCACTTTTCCCTTTTATTTTCTAGGAAAAAAGAGGAAAGATACAAGAAAGATTTAAGTAGAAAGATTAAACAAGCAAAAGAAAATTAAAACCATGCCTCAGCCTCTGTCTCTGCCCCTGCTTGCAGTGCTTCATAGCAGACCCAGGAGAGCGTATCAGCAGACATTACTTTACAGCTCTGGTTTTGACTGTTGGAAGCCCTACTCCAGCATGCACCTTCTCCTCTTATTTCATTATCCCCAGGTCCTCTGAGCCCCTAGCAGGCTCCTGCAACTGTTACAACTGGGGATTTCTAGGGAATTTCTTATCTGGGTCACCACAGCCTAGTTGATGCTTCCTTTGTAGTTACTGGGCACATCTACAAGTGCACTTTAATGCGCAGTGGCCTATTTTACTGCGCATTAAAGTGTCATATAAAAACAGTGCTAATATGCTAATGCACAGTAAAAATAGGCTACTGTGCATTAAGCTTTTGCTATTACGCAGTAGGGCAGCCTAATGAACGTTTATTTAGTACCTCTCATTAGAGGTACTAAATTTAAATTAATTAGCAAAAGCACCCACTTTCTTAATTTTTCATTTGATTCAGCCCGTGGACATGGAGCTTCAGTGGCATTTGGTGGCAGGGGGTATTTGGTGGTGGTCGCTCTCCCTGTGCTGC